CCGATTAACTTTGCCGATTAATTTTGCCGATTAACTTTGCCGATTAATTTTGCCGATTAATTTTGCCGATTAATTTTGCTGATTAATTTTGCCGATTAACTTTGTCGATTAATTACACCGATTAATTACCAGAGTGCTGGGAGCACCGGACGGGCAGCGCCCGCAGCGAGGGCTATTACCCCATCAGCCGGTGCGAGAAGGTGCGGTACCTGCACCCCTGCCCTGCCCCCCAGCCCGACCCCGACACGCCCCCCGACACACAGGTGAGACCAGGGCGACCCCCTCACACCGCGGTGACCCCCTCGTACTGCGGTGACCCCCCCACACCGCGGTGACCCCCTCACACCGCGGTGACCCCCTCACACCGCGGTGACCCCCTCACACCGTGTCCCCGTCCCCAGGGCCCGAACCGGGTGCTGTCGGAGCGGCGCTCGGAGCAGCGGCGGTTCCTCAGTGCCATCGGCTCGGCCGCGCTGCCCGACAGCGACCTGCTCAAGCTCAACCAGCTCAAGGTGGGACGGGGGGCTCTGGGGGGGTGGGGGGGCTGCACCCCGGGGTGGGAGGGGGGCCCCAGGTTGCTCCGTGGGCTCCGTGTCCCTCTTGCACTGTTATTTTTTTGTCCCTCTTGTCACATCCACGTTCTCTGTGTCCGTCACGTCACATCCATGTTCTCGTTGCCTCTCACGTCACGTCCGTGTCTTCCCTGTCTCTCTTGTCCTGTTCTTGTCCCTCACGTCATATCCGTGTTCTCCACGTCCCTCTTGCCATGTCCACGTCCCTGTTTTCCCTCTCCCTGACCCCCACGTCCCCCGTGTCCCCCTGGGTGCCCCCCCCCGTCCCCATGGGTGTCCCCTCCCCGGTGACCCGTCCTGGTGTCACCACAGTTCCGGAAGAAGCGGCTGCGGTTCGGGCGGAGCCGCATCCACGAGTGGGGGCTCTTTGCCATGGAGCCCATCGCGGCCGACGAGATGGTCATCGAGTACGTGGGGCAGAACATCCGCCAGGTCAGGACCCCCCCGGGACCCCCAGGAACCCCCCAGGCACCTCCCACCTCCCTCGGTGACCCTGAAGTGCCCCTTTGTCACCACCCTCGGTGACCCCCGAGTACCCCCTGGTTACCTCCCACCCCCCTCGGTGACCCCCAGGTACCCTCCTGGTCACCTCCCACCGCCCCTGGTGACCCCCAGGTACCCCCTGGTCACTTCCCACCCCCCTCGGTGACCCTGAACTACCCCTTTGTCACTGGCCTTGGTGACCCCCAGTCGCCCCCGGTCACCTCTTGCTGCCCTCGGTGACCCCCAAATACCTCCTGGTCACCTCCTGCCACCCTCAGTGTCCCCCAAGTACCCCCCGGTCACCTCCCACCGCCCTTGGTGCCCCCCCCATGCCCCGCTGACCCCCCGGTGCCCCCCGTGCCCCCCAGGTGGTGGCGGACATGCGTGAGAAGCGCTACGCCCAGGAGGGCATCGGCAGCAGTTACCTGTTCCGCGTCGACCACGACACCATCATCGATGCCACCAAGTGCGGGAACCTGGCACGGTTCATCAACCACTGCTGCACGGTGAGATGGGGGTCCTGACCCCTGGGGGGGTGTCCTGGGGGGCCCCAAACCCGGGGGGTGTCCTGGGGGGCCCCGCTGACCCCTCCTGTCCCCCCCACAGCCCAACTGCTACGCCAAGGTGATCACCATCGAGGCGCAGAAGAAGATCGTCATCTACTCGAAGCAGGCGATCGGCGTCAACGAGGAGATCACCTACGACTACAAGTTCCCCATTGAGGACACCAAGATCCCGTGCCTGCGCCGCACCGAGAGCTGCCGCGGCACCCTCAACTGGGGGGGGCTCTGGGGGGCCGGGGGAGCGACCGCGGGGATGTCGGGGTCGGCGTTGGGCCACCGGGGTTGACAGGTGGCCGTGCCGGTTGGCACTCGGCCGTCAGGGTTGACGTGTGGCCACCGTGGTTGGTATTTGGCCACCGGGGTTGGTGTTCACCAGGGTTGGCGCTCGGCCGTCAGGGTTGACGTGTGGCCACCGTGGTTGGTGTTTGGCCGCCGGGGTTGACGGGAGGGGCCACCAGAGCCGATGTTTGGCCCCCTGGGTGGGGGGGGCCACCGGGGTCGAGGGTGGGTCAACATGGTCGACGTGCAGCCACGGGCACAAGGACGCCGTGGTTGGCCAGAGAGGGGCCAACCTGTGGCCGCCGTGGTTGCCGTGTGGACACTGAGGTTGGCTTTGTGGCCACCGAGGTTGGCTTTATGGCCACCACGGCCAACGTGAGGACGCTGTGGTTGCCGGGGGGGAGGGGGGGAAGGGGGGACCACCGCCGTCGATGTTTGGCCACCAAGGGGCCACCGTCGATGTCCCCCCGTGGTCAGCGCGTGACATCATCGCCCCGTCATCAGTGTCACCCCACCCCCCTGCCCCGGCCACCTCAAAACGTGTGCCATGACGTCACGGTGACGTCACGGTGACGTCACAGCGACCTCTCCCGCCCCATGGACAAGGCTCTTTTTCTCCCCATTTTTTTTTTGGCTGTTTCTTGTAGAAACTCGGGGTTTGTGTGTCCGGGTTTGGGGGGGACTCCCCTTTGGGGGGGTTGGGGGGGAGTTCCTTTCACCCCCCCCGCCCCTCCCCCTCCCGGCTCTGTACATATTCCCGGGGGGGTGTAAATAGCTGTACATGCCCCTCCCCCTGTACATATGTTGATACGGGGGCGCCCCCAGACCCCCCCTTTTTATAAAGTGGCCACTGAGCTTTGGGACGGCCTCGAGAGCGTTTCTTTCGGGGGGGTGGTCGAGGGGGGGTGGGACAGGGT